CGCCCATTGGGAGACTTGGATAAAGCTCCTGGCTGCTGGCTTCAGCTTAGCCTAGCCTTGGCATGGTGGCCATCTGGGAAGTGAACCAGAAAAGATGAAGATCTTTTCTCTTTGTCTCTCCCTCTCCTTCTGTAACTCTGACTTTCATATAAACAAATAAATCTTTTATATATATATACATATATAGTTCATGTCTGACTGTGTCTCTCAACTGATTATCACTGATTTCATCCCTGATTCATTAAAGGTTGTAAACAATATTTTAATCATATCTAATTTATTAGATAAGATATACACAATTTTAAAAATATTTTTAAAATTTATTTGAAAGGCAGAGTTACAGAGAGGCAGAGGCTGGTTCAGTCCCCAGATGGCTGCAACAGCCGGAGCTGCGCAGATCCAAAGCCAGGAACCAGGAGCTTCTTCCAGGTCTCCCATGTGGGTGCAGTCCCCCAAGCACTTGGGCCATCTTTCCCTGCTTTCCCAGGCCATAGCAGAGAGCTGGGTTGGAATTGGAGCAGCTAGGAGTTGAACCAGCACCCTTATGGGATTCCCGCACTGATGGTGGTGGCTTTACTGGCTACACAACAGCACCAGCCCCTAGTTAGGATATTTTTATAAAGAGAAACTTCTCCTTTATAAATTGTTTGTTTGGAAGCAAATAGGCTGAATGGAGAAGGAATTCAAATATTTTCTTTTTTCTTGCTTACCTACTTTCAAAATAGCAAGGTAATTTCCTAGCATTTTCAAAGTGTCTAATGTCTGTTTGTTTGTCTTGTTTTGTTCGCCTTTATGGAAGCACATATTTTAATGAGGATTAATTCATAGTGGTTACTAATCATAGTGATACTCAAACTTTCTCTTTAAAAATTTAATTTTTAGCAGCTCATTCACGTTGATTCCTGAGTAATTTTGCTATAACTCCAGTACTCTTTGAGTGTGTCTCAGTTTCTGATATGGCGAGATGTTCTGGGAGACTAGATTTCCTGTTCTATGCCCAGTACCAGTCATTTCTCCCAGGATCCATGTCTCCCTTCAAAGCGAAATATATTTAGAGAGCACAGTCTGGGAACGGGAACTATTGGTTCATCACTCACTGTTTATGATGTTCCAGGGGACACAGCTGGAAATCAAAAATACATTTCAGATGAGTTAATACCTATCCCGTAATACCTATACCCCATTTATCCCATAAGATACAAATGCAGAAAAACAGCAGATGTAGAATTATAGTATTAACACTACTGCCAATAACAAAATTACTGAAAACAGTCTTATATTTTTGCTGCAATTCTTTCTGAATCTAGATTATATACTACCAGGGATGTACAATCAAAGTATTGGCTTACTTAAAAAAATTATTGAGAGAGAGAGAGAGAGAGAGAGAGAGAGAGATTGCTTTCATATTTGCTGGTTCACTCTCCAAATGCCTGTAACAGGCAGGGCTGGGTCAAGCTGAAGTTGGTAGCCAAAAACCTCAATCCAGGTCTCCCATATGAATTAATTGAGTCATCACTGCTGTCTCTTAGGGTCTCCATTATCAGTAGGATAGGTAGCTGAGCCCAGGCACTCCATATGTGATGTGGGTGCCCCAGACAGAATTTTAAGCAGTAGGCAAAATGTTTGCCCTTAACTATTGGGTTTTAAAGTCACTGGAAATCATTGTTCTGTGGTTAGTTATGCCAGCACCCAACTGTATAATTACTTTCACTTTTGATTTTTTACATGTTGTAAAATTTAATGGTAACATGTAATTTTGTAAAATACTTATGTGACTTTAAAGTCAAATCTAGTAAACATGTTGTATTCAGTCTATCACTATAGACTCTACTTACATTCCATCCTTCTTTTCACCTATAGGATAGGTAATTATTTAAAAAAAGTTAAAAAGTCCAGGGGCCATCGCTGTGGTGGTGCGGGTTAAACCCTTGCTTGTGACACTGACTTCCTGTATCACAGCATTGGTCTGAGTTCTAGCTACTCCGCTTCCCATGCAGAATGCAGCAGAAGATGTTCCCATGTGGGAGATATGAATGGAATTCCAGGTTCCTGGCTTTGGTCTGGCCCAGACATGGCTGTTGCAGCCATCTGGGGAGTAAACCAGCATGTAGAAGATCTCTCTCTCTCTCTCTCTCTCTTTCTCTCTCTGTGTCTCCTTCTGTTGCTCTTTCAAATGGATAAATAAATCTTCAAAAACAGAATACAAATATTAATATCTTCTACTAATGCTTTTTCTCAATACACTGCATCTATAATGAAATTTATCTCTTGCTTAGATAAAAGGCAGCCTACCCTACACTCCTTTCTCCACGTTTCTTAATGATATCTCCTGGAAACCACTTGCTAGCAGTACAAACAGACACTTCCCTTTCATGCAACATTCATTCACAATGCATCCTGTGAGTGCATGAGACTCTATTCATAGTCAATCCTCTATTAATGAGCATTTGAGTAGGTTTCAGTGTCTGGCTACTACTTTGTGCACTGTGTTGTGGCCAGTCCTAAGGGTGGGACAACTGAGTTAGACACTGCCACAATCTCTAGGATCTGCACCATTTCCTTGTAGCTTCACAAATGGAGCATGTTGTCAAATTCTGGGTTCTTGTGTTTAATAGGTGTGACAATGTGGTCCATTATAGTTTTGCTTTACGCATTTCTTATTATGAGGTTGACCTTTCATATGGTGAAGGGCCATTTGCATTGCATTTTCTAGGAAGTGTCTGTTCAAATTCCTAGCTTGTTTTTCTGTTACAGTGATTCATAAAGCAGAAGCAGCAGCAGAACCTGGGAAATTTGCTAAAAATGCAAATTCTCAGGCTCCAAATCAAAACTTCTGCATCCGAAATCCTGGGAATGAGGCACACAGGAATCTGGATTTTTACAAGGTCTGGAGCACCAAGGTTTGAGAAATGCGAGTCTAGAGGGTTGATTTGACTTACCATGGGCATGACTAATTATTTGCTAATTAAACCGGAGGTCATCCTGTTAATGCATTGAAATGGAAAGATTCAAATGACACATGACACTCATTCATTCATCAACAAGTAGGTACAAAGTACCTGCTCTGTGTCAGTCATGGCAGCAGGCAATGGGAATGCTCAAAGGGACACTACCCTGAACAGCACACCTTCCCTGAAGGAAGGATGAAACCAGGCATGCCAATTTAAGTCCTACTACCCAAGAGACCCACATGCAAATTCAAACAGCTCTGAGATAGCACTTTACTCCTAAGTGGACCAAAATTTAAGAAAAGAGTAACAGTTATTCCCACTTGGGATATGGGTGGAAACATGAAACATGGAGTGCTTGGAAAAGGAATGTAGGGCTATCTACCAAGACTTCCAACAACTCAGTCCCACTCCTGGGAATCGATCCCATGGAGAGATGTCACCCATTCTAGGCTATTGACTACAGCATTATTTGTCATGGCAGACACCAGGTACAGAGTGAGTACCCATCGGTGGGAGGACAGCTGAATAAATCGTGGTATACCACACCATGAAGACCACTGAAAAGAACGGGCCATTCCCCTGACTTGAAAGCATTTCTGTGGTGTCATTTGAGTAAAGAAAGCAGTATGTAGAAAGAGTACTCCTTGTCAGAAATGTTTCAAACTTCAGATTTCAGAATAGTTGATATAATGAGATATCTTGGGGAAGAGACTGAAGTCTAAACATGAATTTTGTTAACATCTTTGTTTTGACTGTAACTTGTCATATGAGGTCAGGGGTGAAGTTTTCCATTGTGGTTTCATGTTGGTGACACTCAGAAAGTGTCAGATTTTAGCAGGGTGGGCATTTGGCCAAGCAGTTAAGATGTTGGTTAAGATGCCTGAATCCCGTATTAGAGAATGTGGGTTTGAACAGTGGCTCTGGCTTCTGATTTCAGCTTTCTGCCATTACAATCAGCCTGGGAGACATCAGGTGATTGAAGTTGTGTCCCTGCCACCCACATGGGAGATGGATTGGGCTCCTGGCCCCTAGTTTCAGTTTGATCCAGCCAAGGCTGTTACAGGTATTTGGGGGGGGGGGGGGCAAACCAGTGGATGGGAATTCCATCTGTCCACATGCCTCTCTTCCCGCCTCTCAAATTAAACATGAAAATGTTTCAGATTTTGGAACATTTCAGGTTTCAGATTTTTGGATTAGAAATTCTTATAATGCAAATTCATGTTTATAAACCCATAAAACCCACACATGTGTGTACATCTATATGTTGATACATGATTATATTCATAAGAGAAAAATATGCAGGGATAAATAGCAATTCAGTGAGCTGTCTACAGTGGATTTAGGGCTCAACCCCCATTCTACCTTCCTGTTCATGTGCCTTCTATAGTGCAGAAGATGGAAAATGAGGAACAAGACACACAGACACACTGCAGGAGAACAGATGCACTTGTGCGAGGTAAGGGAGGAGGCCTGCCTCAGCAGTGTCTGTGGACAAGCCCTTTTACTCATCGCATCTTTGCCCAGCGGAGTCCAGTCCCTTGCTTCATGAATATGGACATGCAGGACAGGGGGATTCATTTTGCTAGCATGCATCTAGCAGGCACATTGGAGTCCTGTAGTAGCCACCAGTCCTTGGGTCTTGCCCATCTCTGGAGGTGGAGCCCGCAGCCAGCAGGGGGCAGTGGTTCGCCATGGGGGTGCTGGGTCTCCCTCCTGGAGATGCAGCCTACAGCTTCCGGAGCACCCGCTTCTCTGAGCCAAATGCCAATCTGCTTAAAATAGCTTGGCTTTTGCTTTCTGGAATCAAAACTATGTGATTCAAAGGGTTATCAGACCGGGGGAGCAGTGAGAAAGAACTGAGAGAATCTCAACATGAATATATAAGAAGTGCCTTTGAAACAGTGGTGGTACTATTATTAATTATAAATGTCATTTAAAATGCATCTGTAATCTCAACCAAATAACTGATGTGCACAGGACCTTCAAAGGCTTTTTATTAATGCAGAAAGGTACTCCACTATGGAGCTTCTCTGAGGCACAGGGGCTTACCAGCGGCTGTGGCAGGGGATTTTGGTGCGGGCAGTAAGCTCCTTCGGGCTGGCGTCATGTTGGAGGGTGTCGGAGGGGCCGCCCGGCTGGTCCCTTTGGGTGCATCTTTGGCAGGCAGAGCTGCCTTCGGGCCTGGCTGTTCTTCATTAGCAAAGGCTGGACCTGTAGGAGGGAGGCAGACAGGGTGTTAATTGTAACTTCATGAAGAATAGATGGACCCCCTCACCCTGGAGACTTGCCCACCCATCCCAAGGCTGCCATCTGCCTTAGAACTTGAGTTCATTCTTTTTTTAAAAAAAAATGTTATTTATTTACTTTGAATGTCAGAGTTACAGAGAGAGAGGAAGAGACGGAGAGATCTTCCATTTGCTGGTTCAGTCCCCAGATGGCCACAAAGGCCCATGCTGGGCCAGGCTGAAGCCAGGAGCTTCATCCAGGCCTCCCAATTGGGTGGCAGGGGCTTAAACACTTGGGCCATCTTCTGCTACTTTTCCCAGGCCTTTAGCAAGGAGCTGGATCAGAAGTAGAGCAGCTGGGACAGGAACCGGAGCCTATATGGGATGCAGGCATCACAGGTGGCGGCTCTACCTACTACGCTACAATGTCGGTCCCAGAACTTGAGTTCTTAACTTGAGTGGCCTTGAGAAATACTTCTCTCCAACAGGATGGGGAAATGAACTCTCTTTGGTCACAGGATAAATGCCTATCACTCAATTCTCTACATTGAATGGTATGCTACAAAAGCCAGAGAAGCTGCTCATCGCTCAAAGTTTATCCAGGTGCGTGCACACGTGCGCACACACACACAATTCGCTTATGTGTGTGTGTGTAGTTGTGTACTGTTGTGATACCCATTTGCTTGAAAACAAACACAGAGCAGCCCTTTGCTGAAATGTGAGTGACCCGGGAGAAGTGAGCATAAAAATAGAGTTGAAGGTAGACTGGACCCCCCAGAGTGGGGGTCCAACTTCTCAGACACTCAAGTGCCTTCTATAAAATGCTCTAATATTTGCAGAGAGCCTTTGTGAGCCTCCTGTATACTTTAAATCCTCTCTGGACAACTTCTAATACCTAATACAATGTAAATGCTATTTAAACAGTCGGTGCGATGAATTGTTTAAGGAATAATGACTAGGAAAAAACCTGCCCCTATTCAGCAGAGACACAATTTTGAGAGAAATGTTTTCGATCTGAGGTTGGTTGAATATACACAGATGCAGAGCCTGTGGATACAGAGAGAGAACTGTGTGTCTCTGGACCACTGGCCCAGGGAGTTCAGCACTCTCAGAAACTCAGGTCACTTTGCCTCTAGAGTGACAGGTGTGGGAGGAAGGGAGCGGAGTAGCAAGTGGGGAGATAGAGATTCCCCTCCAGGCTTGTGAACACTCCCCAGAGTGAGAGGATCTTGAATTTGAGCCTCACTCATTTCAAAGGCAGAAGGCATCTACTGACGACTGGGGTTTACTTCTCAATACAGAAGTCAGACAATCAAGGGCTCTGACACCCCGGAGAGAGGGCACACTGCAGTGTGTGTTTGCGCCAGGTTTCCATGAGAAAAGCTGGTGTGGCCCAGACTTTTCTTCTCTTCCCCAACCCTTTGTGGGCTGCACATCTGCAGCCTCTTGAAGACAATGACACCGTCATCCACTTCCTGTCAAATGATATTCTCTATCTCTGAGTGCAGCTGTGGGGTCTAATCTATTAATGTGGAGAGCCTGAATCCACCAAAATCATTGCTGGTTTAGAATAAAAGGATCCAGTTGTCAGAACGCGGCCATGTACCCTGCAAAACAAGCAATGGCATTGGGGGAAGTAGAGGCATGGAGTGAAAGATTACATTTTTTTGGTTTCATCATTTAAAACCAATAATCATAACCTTCTACCTAGCTAGGGACTGAGTAAAAACGATAAGATTACTAAAATGGCTCAGTGTTCATAATATCCAGAGATTTTATTCAACCTTTTAGTACGAGACATGGTTGTTTTTTGCCCCTCTAAGACCTGAAAGTCTGAAAATTGATTAGATTTGTGGTGTATGTTGAGGAAGGAAAAAATAACGCTTTATTTCCTAAAACAGAAGCTAAGTCCTGTTGTTCTTTTAGATACTGTGCGAGGTTTTTCCTGCTAGGGCCAAGAGAACACCAGGAACAAGCGCACGGAACTCCCCTGAAGGGACTGGCACTGTTTTCGGGTGTCAGACTGAAAAAGCACGCACGCATTTGATCTGCAGGCAGTCAGGGAAAGTGACACGCGGAGCTTGCCAAACACTGAAGCATCAAGTGGGCTCACCAGTCCAGCGCTAGCAATCAGAGACTCTCTGGAGGTTCCCATGACAACTCCGACGTGGGCAGTGGGGCTCGGCCCCTGGACACGTTTCACGGGAATCACCTAACGTCCAGACTCCTGCTGACACACTGCCAGAACCTCTTCACTGACAAGTGTGGTGGAAGCTGAACCGAGCGCAGAATGTTTCACACAGAGACTTTTGCTTAACCGCTTATTACAATTTCTTAAGAAGAAAAACATTTTGCATCATTTGCGGAGTTCAAACGCCTTTTGATCAAACCCTCTTGTACCCGGCATCACTGTCTTAACAGGGGTTTCATTATTCAGTGAACCTGTTAACGTAGAGGTCGGCTGTTTTCCAGGCTGGGAAATGATTCATGCATTTGAAATACGAGTGTCAGAGTATATTCCCCTCTGTCAGAAGGCTTGAATTACAACAAATAAAACAAAACAGTGACGGAAAACTCTCTTCTTGTCCATTATGACGGGAGACAGTTGCCGATCAACAGTTCTATGCTTTGAAAACCGGCTTAGGTTTAGCCAGTAATTAGAGACACATTATTCAGCAACTGGAAAAGTCCTCTGCACGTGGACATGGCTGTGGAAGTCTTAATATGCTCCGAGCACCTTACAACAATGCTGACCACAGAAAACCAGAAAACCAACTGCTTGATAAGAGAAGGAAAACAACTGGAAATAAACTGCTTGCGTGAGCCAGAACAAAGTGGCAGAGTTGAGAGGGTGGGGAAGTTGTTCACATGGCTAATTCAGTTACTGCATTCCCACCCACCTGGCCTGAAATACCCAGGCAGTTCACCCACCCTTCCACTTGAGTGTGCAGCAAAGAGAAGCCTCAGCAACGGAGTTGACGGGGCACCGACTCCTCTGCCTGCCACCTCTCTCACCTTAGGGTCTTCATGTCTAAGTGGGGACAAGGGCACACACTAATACACGGGAAGTTTTTAACAGTTGATGCAAGAAGGGCAGAAGGCAGAGTAGTGTTGAGTACATTGCACGTGGTACACCTGAGCTGTTAATGTGCATGCTAATTTTAAGTTCACGACCACATGGGAGCTGGAAAGCAATCAAGGAGTAATATCTGTAAGCAAGGAGAAAGGGCAGGATGGGTTAGTCGGATTGAGCCTTCAGGATGGAGGACTAAAAGCAGGAGTGTGATTGTCTATAAAATATCCAATGAGCCTTTCCAGACTTAGACAATGGTGAGAATAACAACACAGTGGATGACCAAGCTTAGGAAGTATAAAATGTCACCCCCTCCATTGCCATGGAAGTGGCGGGGGCACAGGGAAGCTTGCTCCACTTTCAGATATTCCAGACTGCTTTCCTAACTGCTTGTGGAAGTTCACATGAACTACATGTGACAAATGCAGCACTGGCAGACCTTAATTTTCCCAATCAGTTGAATTTGATAGTAGATGATTTTAATTTATAAGTCTCTGAAAACTAGTAGGGTTTAGTTTTTATTCATATACATGTATCTATTCAAGTTTTATTATTCCATAAGATGTCCATTTTTGTATTGAGGGGTTTTGCCTTCGCTCTCTGAATAGTCCTTTATTGGGTATATATTTCAATTTTTTTTTTTGACAGGCACATCTTTCTCCCAGTCTCTGGCTTGTCTGTGCCTTTCTGGTAACTTTTTCATTTTTTTTTATTCAAAAGTTTTTATTTCATTGTTATTTTAATTTTTAAAATATTTATTTATTTATTTGAAAGGCTGAGTTACAAAGAGGCAGAGGCAGAGAAAGAGTCTTCCATCTGATGGCTCACTCCCCAAATGGTTGTACTGGCTGGAGCTGGGCTGATTTGAAGCCAGAAGCCAGGAGCTTCCTCTGGGTCTCCCATGTGGGTGCAGGGGCCCAGGGACTTGGGCCATCTTCTACTTCTTTCCCAGGCCATAGCAGAGAGCTGGATCAAAAGTGGAGCAGCCAGGACCAGAACTGGCACCCGCATGGGATGCCGGTACTGCAGATGGTTGCTTTACCCTCTACACCACAGTGTTGGTCCCTATTTTTTGTTTTCCCAATGAAACAAAACTGAAGGAAGAGCAAGCACAGACTTAACTAAAATTAACAAACATACTGAACATCAGTTATATACAAGGCTCTGAGCTTCATAATAGAGACACAAAGAAGGCTGAATATATGATGAAAAATATCAGTCAGAACAAGTTGCTCTAAAGAGGGCCTCACTACTCCCGGGTATTTTGGGGGGAAGTGACACTGGCATTTGGTGGCTGGGGTGTCAGGACCACTGTTGAGAAGACACGCAGAAATCTAAGAGAACGTGGAGAACAGAGGCTGATGAGTGTTAACCGAGGGGTACGAGCCAGGGAGAAACTCAACACTTTCAGGAAATCACACAACACAGAGGGAGTTTCCATAAACTGTTCTTACCTACTGGGCTGGTTTGTGGACAGCTTATTCACCTTAATTCCCCTCCTTAGTCCATGCCAGCAGTGTTCCCCATGTTTGTCAAATTATCATCACCAAAATGAGAAAGTTTCTCCTGCTCATCGCAACTAAAGGATGCAGCCTTTTGCCTCCTACCAGGCAGTGGCTCTCTTTTGTAGCTGTATGAACCAGTGCATCACTAACTTACTGTTTGGGACACATGATCTCCTTCATTAGAGTGTGAGAACTTGGGAGGGATAAATTCTGCTAGATGGCAGAATCCAGCTGGTATAATTAAGTTTATATAACACTAATCTCTACATTTTTGTCTCTAAATCATCTGACCTTTCAACAGCAAATCCTTATTCTTCCTCCACGGACAGCACTTAAAGTTCATCCCTCTCAATGCTTGGACACCCTGAGATCATCAATTGAGTCTAACAAAATTTCAAGGAATTATTC